TATGGTGAGCCCGTAACTTACCCGGCACAGGAGCGAGGCAAGTAGCACGGGCTATGGTGAGCCCGTAGTGGACTTACCTGGCACAGGAGCGGTGCTCTCTTCCCCCACCAGTGATCGGTGGCTTTTCTTAGCCCGTTGGAGAGGAGACAGGGAGCGGCTTCGGTCGTAAGCTTGCGTGTCCCCCAAGAGCGTGGTGTGATCAACACTGTTGTGTGAGGCTCAGGGGTTGTGTTGTGGCTGTACTCAGGTCCAGCGGCGCCATGGGGTGAGACTAGGAGCTGGAGTGCCACTGTAAGACTGACAGCCTACACGTAGTTAACTCCAGTGTGACCTGTGCCGGAAGGAGCATAATAATGCCTCACACTTCGTGCTCACCAGATAAAAAACAAGATTTTATCCCGTAATTTCGTAAGGGTAGATTCGGTCAGGTCAGGTTAAACGTAAGATAAGTTAAATTAAACAGTGAATTTTACGTTATATTAAATTCTGACCTAACCCAACCTATCCTAACCCAGCCAATTCTAATCTACCCAATGAGAGGTATATGCTTCTCTCAAGTCTTAGACCCCTACTTTCTACTAGCAATTCAGCCCGTCCTCTCGGGCTTTCACAACGCCACTAAACTGATGTACTAAATTGCCTGACCCTTACATAAGAACATAAGAATAAAGGAAACTACAGAAGGCCTATTGACCCATACGAGGCAGCTCCTATTTATAACCACCCAATCCCACTCATATACATGTCCAACCCGCGTTTAAAACAATCAAGGGACCCCATCTCCTCCACGTTACGCGGTAATTGGTTTCATAAATCAACAACCTTGTTACACACAGAAATCACAATAGCGTGATGCATCAAATGAACAAATTCACAAGGGCCTTGACGAGGATTCAAACCTGCGTCCGAGAGCATCCCAGGCGCTGCCTTAATCGACTGAGCTACGACATGGTCAAAAGAGTTGAAATCGAAGTTCTGCTGAACTTACTGGATCCTGCAGCCTCTCCGAGGCACAAACCAGCGTTTTACACAACTCCCCCATGCACTCGAGCTATGTCGAGTGCCGTTCTCCCTCTTCGTCCTTACTTCATTACACACAAAAATCACAATAGCGTGATGCATCAAATGAACCCTGGTTCATCTATCTTTTAATCAGTCTTTCATGTGGCACTGTATCAAAAGCTTTGCTGAAGTCAAGGTACACAACATCACAATCCTTACCACTATCAACTGCCTCAACTATGCTTTTTTTTTTTTTTTGAGATATATACAAGAGTTGTTACATTCTTGTACAGCCACTAGTACGCGTAGCGTTTCGGGCAAGTCCTTAATCCTATGGTCCCTGGAATACGATCCCCTGCCGCGAAGAATCGTTTTTTCATCCAAGTACACATTTTATTGTTGCGTTAAACAAAGGCTACAGTTAAGGAATTGCGCCCAGTAAATCCTCCCCGGCCAGGATACGAACCCATGACATAGCGCTCGCGGAACGCCAGGCGAGTGTCTTACCACTACACCACGGAGACTGCTAAATAAATGCTGGAATAAAAAGATAGCAAATTTGTTAAACATGAACGGTCATTTGTAAAACTGTGTTGCGACTCATTTATTAATTTGTGTTTCAATATGAAGATGAATTGTATTTGCCATTATCGATTCAAGTAACTTTCCCACAATAGACATTAGGCAAATTGGACGATAGTTTGACGCAAGTGATCTTTATCAGTCTCCGTGGTGTAGTGGTAAGACACTCGCCTGGCGTTCCGCGAGCGCTATGTCATGGGTTCGTATCCTGGCCGGGGAGGATTTACTAGGCGCAATTCCTTAACTGTAGCCTTTGTTTAACGCAACAGTAAAATGTGTACTTGGATGAAAAAACGATTCTTCGCGGCAGGGGATCGTATTCCAGGGACCTGCCCGAAACGCTACGCGTACTAGTGGCTGTACAAGAATGTAACAACTCTTGTATATATCTTAAAAAAAAATCTATCTCCTTTCTTGAAAATTGGTACCACATTAGCAACCTTCCATGACTCTATTGATTTATTAAATATGGTAGACAGTGGCTCGCAAAGCTCCTCTTTGCATTCTTTAAGCACCCTGGCAAACACTTCATCCGGCCCTGGGGATTTGTTTGGTTTGAGTTTTACTATTTGTTTAATTACATCCTCCCTGGTAACTGTTAAACTAATCAACCTGTCCTCGTCCCCACCCACATAGACTTATTTGGCTGAAGGCATATTGTTAAGTTCCTCTTTAGTAAATACAGATATTAAATATTTATTAAAAATACTACTCATCTCCTCGTCATTATCCGTTATTTGACCTGTCTCAGTTTTTAATAAACCTATCCTTTCCCTAGTCTTTGTTCGATTAGTATTTGATCTATTAAATTTGTATGGTATACTACGTTCCTGTGCTTTGCTTAGAATATTTTTAAATAAGTTACATTTATACAATTTTAGGAAAACTCAGATTTCGTATTACTTATAAATAAATAATAAATAAATGTTTATTTAGGTAAGGTACATACCTGAATAAGCCTACATACCTATTAAGTACCTTACATTAGGTAAGGTACTTAATGCCCCGTTCAGCTAGCAGTAAGTAGGTACCCAGAAGTTAGTCAGCTAGTTGTGGGGTTGCATCCTGGGCGGGGTTAGTAATTAGATCCCTTACCTCGATATAAGCCTAACATGTACTGTATATATAAACTGGCTGCTGTCCCCGACACAATGAATTGTTAACTGCCCGAAACGCTTTGCGTAATAGTGGCTTTAGGCTTTGTATGTACTAGCTCTATCTATAAATCCATCAATGTTTGTATCTCACCTTGTATGTATGTACTTTACCTGAATAAACATTTTATTCGATTTGATTCGAACTACAAGTAAAATTAAAAATAAACCAACAGAATTCATTATTGGACATCACAAGCTATTATTATTATTATTATTATTATTTATTATTATACAAGTTCACTGTTGATACCTACATTAAGGTATTTGTTGTCCCCCAAATTGTAATGCTCTGAGTATTGACACTGATAGATTAAGGGCCATTATGTTATCTTGTGATGATAGATAGTAAGTACTGAATTTTGACAGTAAGATAAGACCACAGTTAAAGCTTTTAATAACGTAATGCACAAGTAGGACTTGCTGTCATGTTTTTGGTATTTGTACCAATAGCCTACAGATGTCAGCAACATAGCATGTGACAGCATTATTAGCATAGCAGGTGACAGCCTCATCTGTATAGCAGATGACAGCTTCGTTATGTTTATGAATATCTGTTACAAATTTATGCATTAAAGTACGGTATTAATGTATGGGGGATAAATACTTCACCCTGAATATATAGCCAGAAAAGGGAGGCAGAATTATTACTTTGAACCCCCTAAAGATATAATTAAGGCAGTTCTGGCCCTCGTGTGAATTCTGAGTCATGTCAACAGTCTTCCATTGACTAAAAGAGAGGCTAATTATTCTACGATTAGTTCTCTCTGTTAGCCGTGTCGAAAGCTATTTAGAGATCAATAAAAGCCACCTGTTGGCCTACATACCTGTTCCTATTGACCATTGCTCAGGCCAGATGAGAATTTTGGCCTTGCCTGATCAAATACTTAACAAATCAAGTTAAAGTGCTTCCAGTTGATGTCTAATTTAAGGTATTAAATCAACAGAATACAATCCTCCCGAGAACTCTGCGTATATAGTATAAGTTTATATGACTTTGTATCCATTTTGCTTGTATAGCTATTATAAATCCCTGTATCCAGCGGACTGGTAAAAGATCCCGCTGGTACTGGTTTTCATGACACGCATTTTTATTTTCATTATTAAATTATCTACAGTAAAAACTTTTATTAAACAGTTCTAGCAGATGACAAATGGGCAGCCTAGTCAGTACTTTCAATTCTAACATGTAAATTATATTAAACTTTTAGCTAGAGCCGGTGACAGCACGCGGGACTTGTGATCCTGTGGTCCCTATCCCGGGCGCCGTCGAGAAACTGGGCAGATTCTTTCACCCTATGCCCCTTACCTAGCAGTAAAAAGGTACCTGGGTGTTAGTCAGCTGTCACAACTGGTCGCGGACCGGGCCGCGGGGACACTAAAAGCCCCGAAATCACTCGAGAAGATACTGTTGCCTATCTATTCTATTAATTTCCATTAGAATGGTATCACCAGTTAAATTACCTTTTAGTAATTATGGGTTGCCTGAAATACTGCTATGTTAGTGACTTAATTCATATGCCTTTTCGTCATCTACTAATTAACCACTGTATTATGTTCTTATGTATATTTTTTAAATACAATATTATTATACTGTAGTAGTAGGTGGTTTTTGCTGCCCTGATCCTGTACATGGCTTACCTAGCTTACTCTCTCCCATTCCATGGGAACAGGGACCCCTGAGGGCCAGCATTTTTTTTGTTTTTTTTTGAGGGGAGTTAAGAGGATGGAGAGGCACATGTGAAGGGAAATTTAGAAGTGGGAAATACAGTGAGTTATGAGGCGACGATTTCAGTGGCTGCAACCGGGACAAAATGTCATGAGGGCCACTATCTATAGCTCTCTTGAAGGGGGTCAAGAATTCACTGGCTTGTCAAAGGAGTTCACCCATTATCAGCAGCTAATTCTTTAGTTACCCATACTATTGTGATGGCATGGTTACACCACTATTGTAATAGGCCTAGCTTCCACACTGATGTGATAAACCTGGCAAGCAAACTTCTTGTAACTTGCGTCAAACTCTTTACTGGCTAGTTAACAATTATTACTCATCTTATATCAAGTAGCATTTTCCATTAAATGAGGTTTTCATTATTTTAAGTACATGTACAGTACTATTATGAAATTAATTAAATATCCTTAATTTAAACACATTAAAAGCTTCAATATTAAAAAAACGTTATTATTAAATCTTTTCCGAGTCATAAGCAAACCTTGTTATTATACAGTAATTGATATTATTAGGAGGAAAGGAAAAAATAATTGTACAATGGTGAGAATATATTGCTTTTAAACAAACACAATCCAATCCGTAAATAATTTATACAAACATTTAACAATACATCACATATTAAACCACAGCTCATATCTTTGATATAGATTATAAGGCTTAAATTACCTGGGTATTTTTCAATATACAAAGGCTTGTTCGTAAGAGGAATACAATTCTCCATAGCAATGAATACATTTTTGCATAAAGTAATAAATATAAAATCCCCCTACTTGTAAATGGATCCATGAAGCATTTCCATGTCTACCTATGAAACCTGTACATCTTTCCTCGATCATAGCATAAGAACGTAAAAATTAAGGAAATGCAGAAGGCCTATGGTCCATAAAAGGCAGTTTCTACATATATCCATCTAAATGAATTCAGATATACAGCATGTCTATCATATACTTGAAACAAACCATCAATTCCACATCTATTATGTAACCAGATAATTTGTTCCATAAATCAACTGTTTCCAAACCAATATTTACCATAGCCTTCCCTAAATCAAACTACTCGAATTTATATAAATTGTTTAGAGTTCTATTTTATATATAATTTATAATAATTCATTGTATCAGGGTGACAGGAAGCCAGTGTGTGTGTTCATACACGTTTTTGCTTTTAATTCAAGTAAGTTTATATCCATTCTACAGGATGGAGATCAAAACTGAACAGTATAATCTAAACGGGGCCAAACAAGGGCAAGATAAAGCTGAAGTTATATTATTTGTCTTGTTGCAAATGCTTCTAGAGATTAATCCCAGTATCCTATTTGCCTTATTCCATACAATTACACAAAAAATTTTTGCCTTAAGACTCCTACTAATCACAAATCTTAGATCTTTCTTGGATTCACACTTTACAATTTCAACATTGTCCAGCTGATATCTGGAACTATATTATTATCATTATTTCCTAAGCTCAGAACCCTACATTTTTTTTGGCATTAAACATTAAACATTTTCTTGGCATTATCTGTCACTCTTTTGTCCACTTTGAAAGAATAGAGAGTTTTGTAGCAATTTGTTGTCTTCTGAATGAGTCTCTCATGAGGCACAGTATTAAAGGCCTTGCTAAAATCAAGACACAGAATGTTGCAATCCTTCACACTGTAAACTACTTCAAATATACTAAAACAGAATGAAAGTAAATTTGTTAAACACAATTGGCCCTTGGAAAAACCACGTTGTGATCCTTTTATTAATCTGTTTTACAAGATGCAATCAACTGAATTATGGAATTATCAGTTCAAGCAATTACCAACTATCAACATTCAGCAATGTAAAGTTTTTGTTTTAGACAACCTTGTAGTGTTCTAGAGCTAATAAGCTGTTTAATAATAAGAATAAGTTGCCATGATTGATGACAAATGTACAGGAAAAAAGTGAACACTGAATTGCTTGATGAATCCTGACCCTGATCATCTAGTATACAAATCACACATCACAAATAAAATTCTTCTGGGCATAATCCTGGAAAATATAACTTATACAAGTGGATGAAGCATTATTATGCAGAGAACTATAAAAGCCCACAAGTGCTTCATTGATAACTAAAAAGGCACACAAAGGCACTAGTAATATTTGAGATTATATGAGGAAAGTTAAATTTTGTGCTTGGACATGGAAAAACGCTTCTCTTCCAGTTTGGAGTAAATACAATGTTTATTTCAACACTTTCTAAACATTAATTAATTCTCACATCTGGTTGTAAGTGATGGAAGTGGTTGAATCACCAAAGGCACTGAGATCAGAAATTAAAATTACATATGCCACTACTTTCCCCCTGGCCAAGGAAACCTCTCTCTCTCTCTCTGGGACTATCTTCCAAGAAGATGCTTCTCCCTAGACATCACTCTATTGACCTATCTTCGGAGAGACTTCTCCTTGGCCTTATCTTCCAGGGAGAGACAACTCCTTAGACCTATCTCCCAGGGAGACAACTCTTTGAACCTATCTCCCAGGGAAACACAACTCCTTGGACTTATATACTAAAGAAACATCTTTTCCTCGACCTATCTCCAATGGAGATTCCACTCCCTGAACCTAATTCCCTAGAAGACCCACTCCATAGAAATAACTCCCAAGGAGACCTAACACCTATCCATATAAAATAAACACATACAAAATTAAGAAAAATGATAATTCCAGCAGTAAAAAGTTAAATACAGTATACTGTATACAAAATAAATAATTCTGTAATTTTCAAGATAGTTAATAATCTGGTATATATAAAGCTGAGAGTGGATACAGTATATAGCATATATATTTCTATAATACCTTTCCAATACATATAAAGTGTTCATATAAATAGTTTCCTTTCATACATTAACACAAATTATTCTCCAGTCTTCATACACTGTATATGAAAAACACAAATAATTTAAAACTGATTATGAAGCTTAATGACCCCATGCACACACACACAGTGTTTCATAGTGCATACTTAGGTCATGTACCTCTAAAATAAGATTTAGATTCTGTAGTGCTATATAGTTTACTACATAATCAAATGCATGCCCATTATTTAAAGGTATATGTGTATGAAATAAAATATTTAACCTTATGTTAGTACTCAAGGGAGTTTAAACATGCTAAACAAACCTTCCACCAAGAGAAAGTTCTTATTCTCTTCTGTATGCATCACAGTGACAAATTAATGATCGTGATATAGTGGAATATCAATATACATTTATATTAAATTACATTAATAACTATACAGCACATGGATTTTTTTTTAATTTTGTGCTATGGTGAGCAGTCACCCAGGGTACTAATGTAGCAGTAATAAACATCTGTATATATTTTACAGCAAATATTAAAAAACAACTGAAATATATAAACACTATAGTGATACCCTTTTTTTTTGTAATGCAATATATAATTTTCCTCAAAACTGACCATTGTACTACTTGATAATTTAGAAGGTCTTCATCAATAAGCCAATGACCACAATGATTTATAAAATGTTTCAGTCTTTGGTTTAATGATGACTCCATCTCATAGCAACCAATCTGTTTAGATGTATTTTAATAAAAAATATTCTAGTTAAAATACAAATATAAAAAAAATGGCTGCATGTATGGGCAGCTCAACAGCAATAAAATAGATCCCATGACGTTTTTCGACTAGTGGCAATGCTATTTATAGAGAAATTGGAGAAAGTAGGTATTTGGGAAATAATTCTAAACGATGAATCAAATACTCTATACAAAAACTGATCCTAACAAGGAAACAAAGATAAATTGTTCAAAGAATGAAAAATGTGACAATTCTTAGACATAAATAGTTTATTTACCCAAGACTAATATGCTAAGAAACCACCAACTATACAGAAAGCACATACTGTATTAAGGCACAGCATTAACCCTCACGCACTACTACTAACTCAGGCATCACGCTACTTAACAATGCACTCAATCAAATATACTGTATATTCTTAAAACAAAAAATTCTGTAACTTTAAATCTGCAGATTACTGGGAAGCATTATACATCATATTCATCAGTATTAAGAAAAACAATACTGTATATATATATATACTGTATACTGGTACTGTATAATCAGAATGTTAAAAATAATTTAACCTCTTGAAAATTATATTCCTTTAAGGTTACAAGAGCTACTAAGTCATAAAAATTGGCAATTGCTGTTAAGAAGCTCCTCAAAGCACTCACTACTTTGTAATAATGTAATACAGTACTATAGCACAATCAAACATTTGTTGTTTTTGCCCTAAATGAATAATAAAATATTACCGTAAAGGTGGGCATTAACATAAAAACACTATAATGTACAGTACTGCATATCACACACACACACACACACACTAAAGATTTTGCACCGATTATGCATAACGAATAAGAAATATTTAAGCACAAATCAACGTTACCCTTGTTTTGCACTGAAGACTAAAAAGCTATATAAAATAGCAATGTATTAATAGTAATAAAAATAAAATAAAGGTCACTTCTAGGCAATGCTTAAGACAGTTTTTCAAATTTGTTATGCATTTTTTAAATCCATCATTGAATTCCAAACCTCCACACCCAATTTTATATGCAATGATATTATAAATGTGTTTCTTTAGTTTTATATCTCAAGCAGCATAAATATGCATGTTTTATCTCATGGCTTCCCTTAACAAGCTCTCTAAATTGAACATCGACATCATTCACTCATACACCAGTTTAAATTCATAAATACACATTTCCTGCTATTTTATTTCCAAATTGTATAAACTCACACTCCTTTAACATAAGGTAGAGTCAACATGGAAATTTGTAGTGGACTGTCTAGTTGGTGTTCTCATCCAGATGACTAAATAGGTTGTCAATCTCAACTTGAAAGCGAGACTTAATGGGGATCCTTTTATTTTTGAGTGCTGCTGTAACCAGTCCTGATTCTGGGGTCCAAGGTTCAGGTGTGAGGAAGACTGCTGCTGGGATATCCCAGCGTCCAAGTCCTTGCTTCTTGCCATGAATTTGCAGCTCTTCCAGAACGGCATTAATAACTTTTGGATCACTGCAAAGATCTTTAAAGCTTGCATTTTCTAAATTACTTGTACCAAATTTCATTCCAATTTTATTTAAGTAATTAGGAGATGGAACAACTATGGCCACCGTATTCTTGGCTCCTGGATATGCATATACACAGATACTCTCTATGAGTGAAAGGGTTTTAAGATTACTCTCTATACTACCTAAAGAAACATATTCACCATTACTCAGCTTCACAAGGTCTACTCTCCGGTCAATCACACGTAGAACACCAGTTTCGTCTATCTCACCAATGTCACCTGTTTTAAACCATCTAACACCATCCTTATTGAAAAATACTTCTTTAGTTTTCTCAGGGAGCCTGAAGTAACCTCTGGACACCATGGGTCCACCCACAACAATTTCACCCCTTGGGTTTGGCTTATCTGTTGATAGATAACCACCCTCTTCCCAATCTTCTAATGAGAGTAAAACTCCATGATTAGGTGGCCCACAGTGTCCTGTGCGAGCATCATTTGTATCCATGCTGCTAATACATGCTGAGGTTTCTGTTGCCCCATATCCAACTTGGAGAGTGCACCCAAATAGTGCTCGAATTTTACTATGAATTTCTGGTGACACTGGTGCACCTCCCACTACCAACATTCTTAACTGCCCACCAAGCTCCTCCTTAACCCTATTGAACACCAGAGCATCCAATACTTTACTGGCAAAAGAAGAATTTACTTGTCTTTGCTTATATTTTAGTGCCTCACTAAAGAACTTTGCTTTAAAGTTACCCTGATCTTCAATCACCTTTGTAACACCTTTGATAATTCTCTCCAAGATGAGAGGTACTGCACTCATGCATGTAGGTTTTACTACTCTGGCATCGCCAAGGGTGCCTTTCATAATCTTGGGGCTACTGTTCGTTAAAGTGAATGGAGACGAATAAGCTATTGTGACATTCATAGCAATGAGGGCTGTCTCTGTACCCAGTTCCATAACATGAGCTAATGGAAGATACGCAATATAAATATCCCCTAATATTAAATCAGCCTGGATACAGTATGCTGAAATAGAGGAAAAAATGTTGGCATGGGTTAACTCCACTCCTTTTGGATGGCTTGTTGATCCACTTGTATACATAATAATCGCCACTGCATCTGGTGTTGGTGAAACCAATGGTTTGGTTTTATCTGATGCTTCTAAATTTAATATATCTTGAAATGGGAGTATAGTAACATCTTTGGAAACTTCTTGAGCAGAACCAATGCCTTCAAGCTGATCTTCAATGACAATAATATTGGTAACCAAGACACATTCTGGAATTATTTTATACACACGATGTAATAAATCATAGGAAGTAATGATTGTGTTAACCTCAGTTTCCTTAAGACTATGAACAACACTCTCATTCGGAAGGTTTGTGTAAAGTGTCACCACACTCGAATTATTGCGCAAACATCCCACTGCAGACACATACCATTCAGCCCGTATCTCAGCAAATACTGCTACACGATCACCACTACCTATTCCCAAGTTTCGCATTCCATCACTGAATTTCACAACCATTTCTTGAACCTCTCTATATGATCGGTATGTGTAGTCCCCTAAGCGCAGCTTCTCCATTTTTTTCCCCTTTTCCAATATTTTTTCCCGCTCCAGAAGTTTCCTGGTGCCCATGCAATCTGCTTCACCATGGATGTTTGCTGCATACTCAAGAATGGCAGGCACAGTGATGGCATTCATTTTCTTCAAATTCTCTACCAAAGCAAAGCCATGCTTGTGGCCACCCTCTCCTTTGATCCAGTATCCATCTTCATTACGAATGCCTCCTTTCTCCACTCCCATGATGACCTAGCACAATTAAAACAACAAAATTGTTTTAAAATAAAACAATTCATACATCACAATTGTTAATAGTAAGAAGTGGCAATAAATGACTAAGTACTCAACCTATTAAACTTTGAGGATTACTAAATAAGCACTGAAAAATTTAATACACTAAGTTTAAAATTAAGAAATTACCATATCCTTATTATAGAACATTTTTCAATAAATATATAAGAGATGTGACAGTATCTTAGAATTAGAGTTGGAAATACTTACGTGAGATGTGTGCTTAACTTCTATAAATTAAATATATCTTCTAAATTCCACGATTTGATGTACAATCTGCAAAGCACACCTGCAAAAACACATTAATGGCAATAACTGAACATTATGAAGTAAACATATATATATTGTTTCTGAGCTGGCTAATTCTGCTGAGATGAACAGAGCATGGTATCATAATCAAGGAGGCTTGAGAATGTTGTGCCTATTTTTAAGAAAGGGAGTAGATCACATATATTAAACTGTTAGCAAATTAGCCTACTATCTATTGTGAGAAAATGCCTTAAATCAACAAAGTAAATGCAATTGGCAATTGTATACATTTTCAAAAACAAAACTATTCAAAGGATTCACTACATGGCTGTACTAATGGCCACTCATGTTTGATAAATTTACGTTACTCATTCTTCCCCAGTATATTTGAACTAGTTGCTAGTGGTAAAAATTGCAAGATTATATACCTGTACCTTGACTTCAGGAAAGCCTATGATATTGTGCCTCATGTAAGACAGTATAAAAGTGGAAATTCATGATATTGGGGGTGTTATCTTAAGTTGGATTATGGCATTATCATATCAAAGGAAGCATAACCTAAATGAAGTTCATATGTGTGGGTTACCGCAGGGCTCTGTCCTAGAACCTCTTTTGTTTACCACATATCATAAAAATATCATATATATATATATATATATATATATATATATATATATATATATATATATATATATATATATATATATATATATATATATATATATATATATATATATATATATATATATATATATATATATATATATATATATATATATATATATATATATATATATATATATATATATATATATATATATATATATATATATATATATATATATATATATATATATTATTAAATATGACCGAAAAAGTAAGATTAATAATTCTAACACGAATTTTCTCAATCTTTCGTACATTTCTTTTCACTGTTGGAGGTAAATCAAAAATCAATTCTCCAAAATTCATTTTTATTTCTAGTCTGACGCGACACGAGCGCGTTTCGTAAAACTTATTACATTTTCAAAGACTTTTAGTTTACAAATACACAACTGAATAGAACTTACTGTTCTATTCAGTTATGTATTGTACTGTTCTATTCAGAAATGTAAGTTCTATTCAGTTGTGTATTTGTAAACTAAAAGTCTTTGAAAATGTAATAAGTTTTACGAAACGCGCTCGTGTCGCGTCAGACTAGAAATAAAAATGAATTTTGGAGAATTGATTTTTGATTTACCTCCAACAGTGAAAAGAAATGTACGAAAGATTGAGAAAATTCGTGTTAGAATTATTAATCTTACTTTTTCGGTCATATTTAATAATATATGTCTACAGGAAAGACTGCTACCAAAATATACTAATATATATATATATGCAGTATGTATACCCAATTTAGACATCCTTAAACAGCAACAGCAACAAATTTTTAAAGAATAAGAAAGATTATGGGGGAAAATATATTCAAAGACTTAATATTTTTTTTTAATTGATACAAGGCAATTAAGCAATACTTTAAAAGATATAAGATTACTTAATATAATTTAAAGCAAGAAATCAATAAGATGCAGATTATCTATGGTAATGTCAGGTCTGACTGTTTAAGCATGTTATCTTCCAATTTTCATACCCTAGGCAGCAGCAGAATAAGCTACAGGTACCATCCAACCTTGTTCTGTTCAGACAGCACAACAATTGTTCAGTACTACTGTATTCGTTTTCTGCACACCTCAACATTTCCCCACAACCTCCAACTGTTTGGCTGACTCTAGTTTTGTTGTTTTAGTAGCACTTATGAACACTGAAAAATGTTATTCCCTTGTAACCTGTGACATTTCAATAAAAATTAAGAGAAGTATATGGAAGAATTCAAATTTACTGTGAATAATTAAAAATAGAATGGAAATACTTGTGCAAAAATAATACATAAGCATCTTTCAGTGGAGCTAAATACAGTAGAAGCGGCCTCAAGCCAATATGCCTTTTGTAGTTTCCATTATTCTTATGTTTTATATAGTGATATAATTATTCAACATCGTTGTGAACCACCTCGCTAGAGTGGCTCCTTAAGTCTCTGAGGTGGGGGCCCAGGTATTGGTATGTTACTGCTGTCCTAAAATAGAGTAGTCACCACACAGACTAGGCTAAACCGTCTGCAAGGGTCCTTGCTCCTTCATGTAATGTTATGTGCAGGTGAAAGGTGTTGCCTTGTATAACAAAATAGTTGAAGATCAAGTTTAAGTTATAGAAATCAAGTTTAAGTTGTATAAATCAAGTATAAGTTCCGAAAAATAAGTTTAGGCTATGTAACTTAATTAATCAAGATTAAGTTATGGAAATCAACTATAGATTAGATAAATCAACTATATGTTGTGGAAATCACGCTTAAGTTGTAGAAATTAAAGTTGTAAAAATTAAGTTTAATAATGAGCTTTCTGTAGCTTCCTTAATTCTTACTCACACGACAAAGGAAAAATATGGTGGTGTTATGCACAAACAGGTACTCTGAATCTCCAGGAAAAATTCGTGAGTATTTAAATGTAAAATGATAAATTCTGAGAGCCGTGGCGTGACTATAGGGACTTAAGACAGTGCACAGTGTACTGGACAGGATGTGACTGGCTGAGATTAAACTGTACGACCCTGTTAATGAAGAACTGGGCCAGCTTTACGTACCCACACACTTGTTTCTTATGTTATGTAGTTCGTCGCCGTTTCTGCATCGACTGTTGATGGAAGTTACTATAAAAATACTTAAAAGGTCATCAGTCAGTGTCTTTCGGTTATCTCTTACTATTTTCAGCTGTTTACACAGCGTGCATGCACATAAGCATGCGAACGCTCGCGCGCACCCCCCATCCCCCTTACACACACACGCACACAGTTGATAGGCGGGACCAAAGAGCTAGAGCTCAATCCCCGCAAGCACAACTAGGTTAGTACACACACACACACACTCATTCATGCATACGATACAATATTGTGTGTGTTTCACTTAAAATTAGTACTGTAGTTTTAAACTAACGCTGAGCAAACATACCTCAGCGTTATTGGCTAGTGTTATTTGCGCTAACACATGAGAAGTAGAAGAATATATGCAAAGCGTATACAATCCTTCTCTTTTGACACTAAACTTTAATAAACAGAATTCTTGGAGGGCCAAATTTACGTTCTGGGCGGCTTAGGCTATGTAACTGTGTTGCTACATGCTCTCTGCTGTCTTATCAAACTAACAGCACTAAGGTAAAGTAAGGTAATTTTGGAAAGGCACTAAGTCCGTATGAGGACAAGGGGGCTGGAATATGAGGAGAGAGTGAAGGAATGGTGCCCAACCACCTGGGACCAGATTCACGAAGCAGTTAGTCAAGCACTTACGAACCTGTACATCTTGTCTCAATCCTTGGCGGCTTTGTTTACAATTATTAAACAGTTAATGAGCTCCGAAGCACCAGCAGGATGTTTATAACAATAACAACAGTTGATTGGGATATTTTCATGTTTGAAAACTGATTAATAAATGTAACCAAAGCAGTAAAATATTGAGGAAAGATGTACACGTTCGTAAGTACTTGCGTAACTGCTTCGTGAATCGGGCCCCTGGACCATTGGAAATATAACGTCTACGTGCACAAAGCGAGGCTGTCCCGACCAGTCCAAGTAAATGGGCCTAAACCCCACCATTGCAAATATTGACTTATTTTATTCTTGATTATACTGGCATTTCTTGCGTTAGCGTTTTCTCCGACCAACCACTTGGGCTGGACGGTAGAGTGACGGTCTCGCTTCCTGCAGGGCGGCGTTCAATCCCCGACCGTCCAAGTGGTTGGGCAACATTCCTTCCCCTTGTCCTATCCCAAATCCTTATCCTGATCCATTCCCAGTGCTATATAGTCGTAATGGCTTGGCGCTTTCCTCCTGATAGTCCCCCTTCCCCTCCTGATCATTATAGTAAAGTGTAGGAGAAAGAGCTAACGCTTTCTTAAAATCTATTACATACGGAAATATCTGCACTGGCGACGACCTTGATTCTTGCAAGGTCGGCGATCAATCCTTTGATGGCTCAAGTGGTTGGGCATCGTTCCTTCTCCCAGTCCTCATATCCCAGTTTCTTCCTGTCTTCACATCCCAAGTGCTGTATACTGTGATACAGTATGTATCATACTGGCTTAGCACTCTCATAATTACCTTGCACTGGCTTCGCATCCCAAGTGCTGTATACTGTGATACAGTATGTATCATACTGGCTTAGCACTTTCTCATAATTACCTTGCACTGGCTTTATTACCTTAATTACCTTATACTGCACTTGTACAGTGTACTAGACCAAAGGGCGTAACTCCCTATAGATTTGTAAGCATGAGATAAGTAAACCGGCTTCGCAGGCAAGGATATTTTTAATTCTGTCTTACTAATGCATCGCCAGGATAACAATAAAAGTAGAATTTAAATTGTAAGAGTAAGATGGGGCACGAACTAGAGTCCAAAGATGTGCAAGACGCCCATGCCACAACCGCGCCGCGAACAAAGGGCCACGAATGACAATAGACCTTTAGCGACAATGGAGCTATTGTTTTACATATTTTTATACTGACATTGGTATTGATATCGTAGTGACATAAGAGCAAAACTTAATACATTAAAAACAGAGTAGAATATACTAATGTGAAAAAAGAAACCAAGCCGAAGAGCAAGGAGGAACAAGAGAAAGTAGCCCAAACAGAAAGCAAGTACCACAAAAAACTCAATAATGTCGCCGTGAAAAGAACCATCACAGCTGACAGCCACCAAAACAACAATAACAACACCGTATAAACTTTCTGGCGAAAACTTTTAGCACGCCGCAAGTGTTTTTGTCTGAGAATTTCCACCAAACTCTTCCCTCCCTTCCCTCTCCTCTTTATTCCGCACTCTGACTTTCCTTTCATGCTCTCTCCTTCATCCCTAGGAGCTAAAGAACACGAAGAAAGAGAAGGAACGAATATGTAATTGCTAAATACAAATAAATACACCAGGCATACAAAATAGCGTTCTTTTCCTTTC